TATATATATATAAACCACTAGGGAACTACCTTCTGAGAAGGTGGTCGTGGTGGGTGCCAGTGAGTCTAACAAACTACAGTACCTTCTAAGGAGATTCAAGAACAATCCATGGCTGGCAAGGGATGGCTGTTGAATTTTTGAAGGCTAAGGTTGCTCATCATCCACCAAAAGGTGTTCAACATCCACTACAACATCAGCTAGTAGATTTAAAATGATTCCTGCCGTTGGTGTTCCAAGAAAAGACACACCCTAAACAATGTGGTGGTTCAAGATCTCGAAACCCTGGAGGCGGTCTACACCTCCAGCGATGATGAGACAAGTCTCATCCCAACCAGAGTTCACTCCAGGGAAACGGACTGTCACGGGCGGACAGCGGGCGGACATAGGAAGTTCCATTCATCCAAGCCCCATGCGAAGATCCAAATTATGCCATGCACAAAGAGATGATGATGCAATTTCCAGATCCCGGGACCAGTAATTCAGCTTTACCAGGAATTCCGCAAAACCATCAAACACTGGTTTGTTACTCCCCCCAAAACACATGGTTCTTGTAATATACGCCCTTCTCCCATTCTCCAAGCTTCGACAAGTCATCGCATGGGTTGCTGAGCCTGTTCTTCTTGAGGCTCTTCGCTTTCTTCTTCTTCGGACGCGTCCTGGGCAGCGATTTGGATGGGTGAAACAGAGTGAAACGGCCGATACATGCCGACACGACCAAATAGTACATGCTAGTGTACAACTACAAACACATACAAACACTATGACATTGTGTTAGCTGTAGCCAAAAATGCAAAAATCTGTCCCAAATAGAACTGGTGAGCAAATATCAGCTTTGTAGTTTTCGTTTTCGGGCACCTCAATGGGATTGACTAGCAATGATTTCGGTTCCCTCCATCAGAATTCCTCTGCATACGGACTAAGTCTTGCAGCCATAGACCCGTTGAAAAAGTAACAAGATAGAATCCATGAACCCAAACGCCCAAACATTTTCTTGACACTCTTGTAGGAGGCACTCTTGTTGCACGCTCTTGTGCGACACTTTCGTCGCTCTGTGGGACACTCTTGCAGGACACTCTTGTAGGACACTCTTTGTGGGACACCCCTGTAAAACACTCTTGTGGACTCTTGTGCAACACTCTTGCGGGTCACTCTTGTAGGAGACTCTTGCGCCCTGAGGTGGAGTGAATCATATTGTTGCAACCTGAGGCCTCAAAGGTCTTGATGACAAAGGGGGTGGTTGCTTCCAAAGCATGTTGCCAATCCTCCTGCGGCCAGTCATCCTTCCAAATCGTGAAAACCACACTGGTGCATGAGGGATCCTTGGACTTGTGGGTTCCTTCGACACACTTCCAAATTGCACCGGCATCAGAAATTCCAGGTCTAATTTTTTCTGATGTGAAAAACTTGTGGTACATCTGGAACTTGCTCTTGTGCACACTGGCAATCATGTTCTTGCCGTTGTCAGCTTTCTGCAGAAACTGCGCTTTCACCAGAGGATCTGCCTCACAGGTGCCTTCAGCAAACACTTTGTCAACTGCATTCTGCAGAACCATTTGCTACTGGGCCATGAAATTGTGGTGCAGAATGGTGTGCCCATAGCTGCGCTGAACTTCTACCCAAGCCTTCAGACCTACCAGAACCTGTGGGAAGGCATCTTTCTGCCAGCGCCAGGCTTTCTCAGACCTTTGTATCGCCTGTCCAGCCTTGGTCTTTTGGCCATGTCCAGCACTGTGATACATAGGGTTCTTGGAGCACTTGCGCTTGGACACCACAACCTTCAGAGCATCATGTTCTTTGAAGACTTGCTTCAGAGTTTGAGTCTTCATTTTGTATTTCTTGGACATCTCCTTCCAGAGTTCCTGCCCATTGCTACTTTTACTGTAAGACACTCTTGTGGACTCTTGTGCAACACTCTTGCGGGACACTCTTGTTGGACACTCACCTACGACACTCACGTACTCAGATGTATTTTGGCCACGTAAGTTGACAGTTCTGAGGCCACAGCTGCCAGAAGCTGGTTCCCGTACTACCTTTGTACTAGAAAGCTGCCAGTTCTATAGCTCCCAGAAGCTGCTTGCCGCACTACATTTGTACTACCAAGTGGCCAGTTCTGAGGCCACAGCTCTCAGAAGCTACATGTGCATTACCAAGTGGACAGTTCTGAGGCCTGCCAAAAGCCACTTCCTGTACTACATTTGTACTGCCAAGTGACCAGTTCTGAGGCAAAAGCCAAAGTTGCAAGTGCTGAGGCACGAGGGGCCAGAAGCCGCCTCCCGTACTACATATGTACTACCAAGCGGCCTGTCCTGAGGCCACAGTTCCGAGGAGCTGCTTCCAACATTACATGTGCGCTACAAGCTGCCACTTCTGAAAGACACTCTTGTGGTGCACTCTTGTGTGACACTCTTGTAGGACACGCTTGTGGTACACCCTTGTAGGACACTCTTGTAGGACACTCTTGTCGGACGCTCTCGTGGGACACTCTTGTAGGACACTCTTGTAGGACACTTTTGTGGGACACCCTTGTAGCCTTGTAGGGAACTCTTGTGGGACACTCTTGTATAGGACACTCTCGTCGGCCACTCTTGTCGGACATTCTTGCGGGACACTCTTGTGGAAAAGTCTTGTGGGACACTCTTGTCGGACACTCTTGTGGGACACTCACGTACAACACTCTTGTCGTACACTCTTGTACCACACTCTGGCGAGACACTCTTGCGGGAAACCCTTGCTCTTCTAGTATAGGACGCATTCTTGTCGGAAACCCTTGTTGGACACTCTTGTGCGCTCTTATGGGACACCGAACACTCTTGCGGAACACTCTTGTAGGACACTCTTGTGGGACACTCTTGTATCACACTCTTGTGGGAAAATTTTGTAGGACATTCTTGTGGGGCACTCTTGCGGGACAGTCTTTCAGGACACAAGCGTTTCGCACGAGGCTTCCTCCAAAATTTGCGCGTCACGTCTCCAAAACGAGCGTTTCGTACGAGACTTCCTCCAAAAGCCACGCTGGAAGCCCCATCAGAGCACACGCATCAAGAAGCCCTGCCAAGCAGTTTCGCGACATTCACTTCCACCACTACTGTCACAACATCAGGACTCCCTGCGCCTGCCACGAAAATTTGCACGTCCACACCTTCAACACCCACAAAATAGCGCGCCTGCCACGAAATGTGACCTTCGCCACACCTCGCAACCTCACGACTCCCTTCGCCTGCCACGAAAATTGCACTTCCACACCTCAAGACCCGCACAAAGTACTGCGCCTGCCACAAAAAGTGACAATATCACATCTTCGTAGCTTCAGCAAAATTTGCACCACACGCTCGGAATGATTGCGACATGCCACCCACCAAAATCGCAACTTTAGCTGAAACTTGTCACGAAAAGAGCCTGAAACGCAAATCCCAAAATGTCACAGCCACATCCAACTCCCCAAAAACACCACCCTCTAAACGCCAATCCCAAAGTGACTGCGAAGAAAACTGAGGATCTCACACAACGATGCACCTGCACAACATCCTCCATCCTCTCACGTTTCCACACGTGTCCTCTCTATTTCCAACGAATCTGACACATCATGCTTCCATCCAAAACCCTCTCCAAAAGCTTTGCCCAATGTGAGCGCCATAGCGCAACACTGCGAACGGTTGCCGACGCTAGGACAACGAGTGGCGAACATAAGAGTCTATACCCCCAAAGATAAGCGAGACCCTTCGCTACGTTCGGGAATAAAGCACCACGCCGAGTGCGGTTCATATCGATCTGAGGGGCGCCGCATCTGCAAATGAGCCCTGAGACCCTGCCACTTCTGCAAATGCGCCCTTTGACTCCGCAGCTTCTTGGTTCCTGGAGAGCAGGACGTGTGACCAGTGGTCGAGCAAACCCAGTCCAAAGGGGTGGTTTTTCGACCGGCGGGAACTCCTTTCAAACCATGCTTTGAGTGGTTTAAACCAGTGGTTTTGCTGGATGGACACAAAGCATACCACAACCATGACATCTTAAGCCATACACCCAAAACAAACGCCTTTTCCCCTTTGGGTCGTTGTACTCTCCAGGTTTTGATCACGGCCGCCGCAGGCCCGAAGCTTCCCGTTGCACCCGAACTTGGGGGATCGGTGAGAAATTCGCTTCTCAGAGAGCCCGGGTGGCTCTGAACGAGATCAAGGGACTGACCAGAGCCATCTTTGATCGAGCTAGCTGAAGTTCTTAAGTTCTCTTAAGTTCAACACAACCAACATCAACCAACCCTTCCTGTTGATCGATGCAGGATCACCATGTCAGGATGCTTTACTCGATACAAAGATGAAAGACCAAAAGGCCTAAAATTGCATTGAAGCTCCTCATATCAAGGGTGTGATCATGTAGACTTTTGATTGATAAAACACCTCACATACGAGGTTGTTCAATCCAAATGGGGGGTTATTCAGAATCAAGAGCCTGCAAATACTGACGTGCGTTCCTTACCATGCTGCCAGCAAGCGCCACTTTTTTAATGACCCTGACCCTGTATTTCAGTGCCCCAAAACCTCCGGTCGGTTCGTTTGGGATGTGCTTCATTGAACTCATCATCCTCCACAACCAGCGCCCATGCCCACTCCATGTATATAATATGCCTACTTTGACCCCTTGTCAACCAGGTTATGTATCTGCAAGGTTCGTCTTCCTTCCCTGGAATTTCAGCCCTAAAGCTCCAAAGATTTGATGCTTCCAAGCGTCAAGCCGAGGGAACCGATGGAGATTCCACCGTTCTTGATGTTCGTGGCCACTCCAGCGGCACTGCACTTGAAGGAGCACTGGCCCTGCTGGTAGGACCTGGAGCACACCGCGTGACCGCGTTGACGACCATCCACGACCTATCCCTGAGTAGGGTAGTCCAGCCAGGACACCCGGACAGGATGCTCCTGGTATGCGCTGGTTTGTTTCGCAATGTCTCACTGCGTGTAAGAAGTGTGTCTTCAAAGTTCTACCATTTCCTACTCAAACGCCATGGTTTGCCATGTGACCAAGGATTCCTTGTTCAACGACCCAAAGTTCAGTTCTTCGTTCACCTTTGTCCAGGCGCCCAGAACAGTTTACGCATGTTTTTGACGTTGACCCAACCTGACAAAGCTTAGGCAGCCCAGCATGTGGAACGGCGTTCAGACGGTGAATTCAGAAGCAAGATCAACCGACACTTCATTCAATGGCAGGTCTACAAACTGAATCAAGATTGGCACATTTTTGAAAACCAACGAACAGCTTCACTAACTATATAGCCAGCAAATGTCACTATGTCACTATGTCTTGGTCGTCGAAATAACACCACTGGTGACCATCGAACCTTCAAGGTTATGCCTGGATCTTTTCCTGAACTAGCAGCTAGCGACGATGGGAGACCCCCTGGGCGAACGTAACGTGCTGCCGCTCTGCGGGTCCGTGCAAACCCAAAGATGTTCAACGAGGTTCGTGGTGTTCAGTCACCGTTCACGGCTTCAAAACTTGCCTGGTCTGAAATGGTTCTTGAATCTTGGTGGCTCATGATGGCTCAAACAGGTGGCAGAACACAAACAGGAAATTGTGTGGAAGTGGTTTCAAACCCAAGTTCTATGACATTTGACACTATGACATTCTGGTTGTAACCCACCCAAAAATTGGTCCGAGTCGGATGCCGCTGGCCGTTGAGGCCCCCCAGCGTTGTTGTTTATCGAAGTTGACGGGTGAGTGGGGGCTCAGGGGATCAAAAAACACTTGCACAGAGCTGTCGAACTCATGTCTTTCTACTTCCTTGAATGCGCATGGTGTGTGTGTGTGTGTCCCACCCTGTTTCCAAGGGTTTTAATCATGAAGGGGGGTCAAGGAGCGATATCACCAACCTTGACCAACGAAGCTGGGTGATATCGCGGGATATGGGACTTGGCCAGTCCCATGTACCTGCACTAGTCTAGTTTCTATGCATGCTGGTGATTCAGGCGTGCTAAGTATTCAGTAACTAGTTTCCGGAATACCTGGTTAAAACCCCTACAAGTACGCTGACCCACCAAGTTTCCGTTTGTTGAGTCAAGTGCAAAGTATTCAGTAACTAGAGTGCTAAGTATTCAGTAACTAGCTTCCGTTCGATTATCGCTCTGAATGAACCTTATCGAAGTGTGAACTGCTACGCTTTCCCACTCGGGTGCATAGTGTGATCCCCGCAAGGGGCGCTGAAGCCATCTTGGATTATCATCAACAGCTTAGCGGTTTTGCTTCGTGGATTCTCTCACAACTTTTCTGATTTGCATGGAGCAGCCGATTCATGAAGCCACCGGGCATGCAGAGAATCAATGCCGCCGGGCTTACGGAGAATGAGCCCCACCCCACCCCTACCCTCTTTCTTTCTTTCTTGCGGTGTCTTCTTTGTTAAACTTAGGTGTTTCTTCAGGCTCGTCAGGTTGCTCTTGAGGCTCGTTTCCCTGCCCCTCGGCTTCGTTTATTTCTCTCCTGCTTTTTCGTTTCTCTTTCTAGGTTTGCCTTTTGACTAGAGGCTTTTCAGGTATGTAGCCAGGCCGTTTTTAGTCAAGTGCTAAGTATTCGTTCTTCCAGTCAAGGGCTAAGTATTCATTTTTCTAGAACCTAAGTAGTTCTTAAGCTGTCTACTGCGTTGTTACCTTCTTAACGCCAGTGCACGCCGCAAAGTGGCGCTTTGTGTTGTGTGTGTCCCACCCTGTTTCCAAGGCTTTTAATCATGCAGGGGGTCAAGGAGCGATATCACCAAACTTGACCAACGAAGCTGGGTGATATCGCGGGATACGGGACTTGGCCAGTCCCATGTACCTGCGCTAGTTTAGTCTCTATGCATGCCGTTAATTCAGGAGTGCTAAGTATTCAGTAACTAGTTTCCGGAGTACCTGGTTAAAACACCTACAAGTACGCTGACCCACCAAGTTTCCGTTTGTTGAGTCAAGTGCAAAGTATTCAGTAACTAGAGTGCTAAGTATTCAGTAACTAGCTTCCGTTGGATTATCGCTCTGAATGAACCTTATCGAGGTGTGCAATCCATGGAATCACTGGGGGCCTTTGGGGTTTGAATTTTAGCAGGGGGCACCGGAGGTGCTGATGAGACTAATGCTAACAAAGACACTCATCAGTTACGTATACAGTTGGAGACGTCCAACTGCATACCGGCTTGTGATGACTGGATATTTCCCAGTGGGCCCCTTTGTAACTAGAACAAGCTGCTGGCCTTTGCACCGGTTGGAGTTTCTGCAGACTTGCGCGCGCTCGCGCAAGCGCTCGCGCCGCTCGGTGATGATGTCGGGTCTTCGGAACTTTGGATCTTTGCAAAGAACAGGTTTTTTGGATCCAAGGGTATCCAGAAAACCCACCATAGCTGGGAGTTTCAGTGGTTCCAGCTCGACTAAAACCATAGACCTAGAACCCCTGGTTCCTTGTATAGTGGTAACTGGGATCCACTGGGGATGGTTATAGGCCGCTCCACTTCATCCCTGGTTATTTAGGCCTCTTGAATCACCGAAATAGGTTGCTCTCGGGCCGCTGGCTGCGGCATACATCCACCGTACGAACTTTCTCCCATGTGTGGGCATGCGTCTGTGTGCAGAAAAAAACGACACCGATGGCCACCGATGGCCACTCCTCCGCTCTGCTAACCGAGTGGCTTGCCAGGATTGGCCTTGCAGTAGGTCGGCAACTTCCTTAGGACTTCTGGCAGTGTCGACATGGGAGTCCGCAGCAAAAATAAGATACTAAGAGAACAAGCAATAACAATGATATATATATATATCGTATATATATACATATATTATATAACAATGTTCAATTTGTAACGTAATTTTATTGATGTGGTAATAGTAATTACTAGTAACTAGTCCTCTATAGTAATGATATGTGACAATGGAATCAGATCGAAACATTGCTTCCTTCAAAGATTGTACACTGGAAAGCACGTCGAGCATCCCAAATGGTATCCAACTTTATCCTACAATACGACTCAACTAGGAGCCGACGGCTTCCCCCATGTAGGAAATTACTACTACCTATATACACAAAGAGAGAGAGAGAGAGAGAGGGAGAGAGAGAGAGAGAGAGAGATGCCCTTTGTGGATTGGAAGGATTGGAAGATTCTAAGGCTGGTATCATCATAGCTGCATGTTTGATGCATTTCACAAGACCTGGAGGAGACTTGGAAGGCTGTTGCAAGCACACCCCCTGCTGGTGTTTTGGGGTGGCCAACTCGCCTGGAGAAAAAGCATGCAAGAACCAAACCAATGCCTTCAATTCGTTCAACATACCTTAACCCAGTGAATCCCAGTTGCCGGAACCAGGGATTCTAGATCTATGGCTTCAGTCGAACTGAAACCACAGCTTAATTAGGTATACGCCAATCCGAGTGAGAGTGGATTAACTTTCTCAAAAATAGTGATGTTACATAAATTCTGATGTTCTTTTCACCAACTCTCACAGGTTTACTGGGACACGCACGAAAAAACCATACCATCCAATCCCGCGGGTCAAGGCTAGAAAAACTGAAGGGTGGGGCCAGTTACTATCCTAAGGCTTTTAGGGGGAAGTCCAAGATGTGCAAACGATGTGCTAGGCCCGGCTGGGGGCTCGCTTCCCTCCCCAGCGAATGGAATAGCAATTGGGTGTCTTCACACCAGAGAGAGCCCCAACAACAGGTAGCTTATAGACCCCAAAAGATAGAAGTTTGTAGATCCCCCACGTAGAAAATCTGGAAAACCGGTGCCATCCGGTCCTCAACAGTCTTTGGGGATCACTTGAGATCCCCAAAGACCGAGGTCCGATTGGAACCACCGTCCTTCGCTTCGCCAGGCCGAGGTCTGGATGGAGTCGGTTTTGGATCCAAACCCAGACACGACTAAGTCGGACTGGCCCATCGGCTTCGCTTCCATCGGCCGTGATCGGTCGAAAGCCACTCCCATAGGTCTGGGTGTGAATTCGAAAGACGAAATCCCGGGCCGAACCTCAGACCCGAGCCCCCTGAGACTGAAGTCTCCTCTCCTTCGCAAAAAGCGTCCCGAGATCGTTGCACATCGTTCCACTGCTTCCACCGCCCGTGATGGTGATGCTGCCGCTGGTGGAAGAGGAGCCTCCGCCACTGCTGAAGGAGCTCAGACCTCCCGTCCTAAGCGCGTTTCGGTTCGCGGAAACACGGAAATCCGTGGCGCGGATGATTGGCCCAGTGAACGGCACATGATTGGCTCCGGCCCCATTTTGGTCTCCTCATGAGCTTCTTTAGAAAATCGAAACCCTCCCACAGGCCATCCCAAAGACCTTGTACTACCCTCCCTTGCCAATGGAAAGTGGATGGCACCCTCTCTTGGAATTGTTGGAAAAACCGCCTTCTGCCATGAACACACGCCATCCACGTCACCATGGGTTGTTGCGGGGGGAGTATACGGAGGTACTCACGGTCGTTGGAGCGACTCGGGCCTCTCCAACGGCGGACTCGACCAAGGTGACCCATGTGACGGACTGCCGGATCCGTAGATGATGATGTGACTGGGAGAGCCGTTGACCGACCATTCAAACAGATGAACAAAGGACTGAACAGAGGATATCAACCTGTTCGGTTTTGGCCAGCCAAATGAACCTGTTGAATGGAAAGTATTGGAAGGACATCACAACTCTTCAGCACCCAATTGGTGGGTCATCATCTGGAGCACAGCACTCCACCCATCGTGAGTGCAGTCCCCCATCCAGTGAAGTCACGCTGTTCATGAGTGGATGACGCTGTTCATGAGTGCTAAGGAGTGGTTCAGCGTGGTTCTCACAGAACCTTGAAAAGCCCGTATAGGGGTGAAGAAGTCGCACTTCGTCGGGTCATCGGGTCTTCATCGTGCCCAGTCAAAGTGCTTGGTGGAAGACATGAAATTCATCGGGTCCAAGATAGGAATCTGTTCAAAGCTGGCCTGCCCCACAGTCATTTCTTTACATGGAACAAACCATGGTTTGCTTCTTCAGACCTGGGTCACTCACAACACGAGCCAAGTGAAGCAGCTCGTTCGTCAGTCAAATCAACTGCAAAGCTCCGAGTGGTTCAGTCCCTAGGACCGAAGTCACCGACACACCCTGTCAGGGTGTGCAAAGGATCCCAATATTTCCCCTAGGGCTCCGGTCGCACCTTCTAAGAAGGTGGGACTGGGGTGGGTTTGGAGGGTCCAAACACCTTCTGAGGATGTACTTGGAGCCCTAGGGTTCAGTGAACAGTATAAAATAGTGGCACCTGTGATGGGCACCTGGGAGACATGACCGGTGGTGAATCCGGGTCGTCTAACGACCACGACCACGTCCAAATTCTGGTCGAGCGTCGCACCACACTTCACCATGCAGCCGTTGCAATTGCTCATCAAGTTGTGGTTTCGCCGGCAAAACCTCGCGCCAAGGCCAAGCCGTTCAAGCCCTGGTTGTATGAACCATCACAGGGAAGTGGAGGGGGAGCCGCTGTTGGTGAAGGAAAAAGGGGCCATGCCATCCACTTCCATGGTAAACTAGTCAGCCTCGTGTTGTTTTGAGATTGCACGTTGCCATTGCTGCAGCATATGTATCAATTTCACAGACCTATTGCGAAGGACATGCCGACTTGTGACGTGACAGGGAGAACACGCGGCCTGTAAAGAAGGTGATGAAGTGGTGATGAACACGCGATGGGTCGCTGGGTGCCACAGTAACTGGTCCATCTCTGAATGCGAAAGCTCGGCGAACACGAAAGGTCTGACAAAGCCGCAAAGCTAGTAGCATTGGCAGGGGAAAAAACACACGCGCACACACATTTGAAGAATACCTTCTTCTCAGGCGGCCATGTGGGGGCGGGGGTTTGGGCCTTTCGGCCGTCTCCGAACGGCGGTCTGCCCCCCCAAAACGGCGACTGAAAGCGACTTCCCTGGGCCCTCCGAGGTCCCAGCACCCCATGCGATCGGGAGACTTTTCAGCTTCCTTCCGGGTGCAGGGGTGAAAGCACCTCGGTGCAGGTCTCGAGACAAACGCAAGCGCCTCCCAAAAGCAACAGGAACCATGCAAAAAAACGGATCTTTCAATCAGATGGTGAACCTGTATTTACCTTGCATTTATGGATACAACGTACCAATGAGTACAGTATGTGCATGCACACTCAGTGTACAGTCTTTCATGTCCTTGTTCTTCAGTGTACAGTCCTTGTACAGGAAAAAGGAACAGTCCGGACTGCGGGGTGGACCTGTTGGGTGTAGCCCTTGCCATTTATTGCCATTTGTATTGACAAGAACTTCAACAAACATCACTTCGGTCAGCCAAGTATGCAAAAATACAGGGACAGGGGATGAAACATTGCGCCGATGCGTGTTGAGAAATGCATTGCATGGCAGTCAATAATCCTGGTAGGTAGATCAATCTTGTTAACAGCCACTGTATTACCTAGAATGGTACAAAGGTCATCGACACAGGAAACTTCACTTTGGTCACGATTCCACTTGGCACCCAGGATAGGTCAGCGTGTGCTAGCTGATATGTCTTGGCAGTCAAACATCCATTGACTATATGGTTTCAACCAGTGTGACAACAAAATTAGTCGGAGTGAACTGACATTAAAAAACATCAGGATGATTATATATCGTGGAAATGTGACGCCAGCCACGTGACTGCTTCCAGTTCACTTCGATGAATGGTTTGAAAACCACTTGTATGAGATGTCTGCATCACAATCATAAACCGTCAAAGGATGGATCACCTGGAGATCGAACAATTTGTTGCACTATATCGCCCATGCTGCTCGACAACATTTAAATTCAGTAGGTCAGTCGCATGTGCCGTATGGGTCTTTTGTACGATGTCAGGTTTGTCCAGAAATGGGGCCCTGGCGTGCACATTTTAACCTGTTGTATACAACTTGTTGTGGATGAGTTGTGGCAAGTGGAAACCACAATAGATTCGGGAATGCGTTCAATATTCGGATTGCTTCAGGATGAAAATCACGTACATGCTTGAAGTGTGAACATTCAAGCTGTCGATGTTCATGTGTATTTGGAGTTCCACAAAAAGGGCAATCAACTGATCGAGTTATATCCCAAACAGCCTTAACATCCCAGGTTTGATAGCCACCTGTCAAATTCAACGCAATTAACTTAAGCGACGCATAGGACAGTTTGTGGGGAATTTTATCATCTTAGGAGAAGAATCTTCTCACCAATGTTCTGCTCCACCAAACCGTCCCTTGGACGTCAAATATTAAGATAAAGCAGACATAGTGCCATTGAGTTTAGCCTGCTCGAGGTAGGTCATAGAGTGCCCAAAGCCGCACGGCGGGGGTGCTTTTCGTGCAGGGGGTTGGAAACCTCTGCTGAACAACGTACAAAGTAACCTGGAGACGTTGCTTTCGCAATACCTGCAGGCATTGACAACAGTTCATCGAACGTAGCCCCAACAAAAGATCGTTCCTTGAAAAACAGACGATATGCAACGTGAAACGGTGTTTCAGTCAGTTGATCAGTAGGAAGTTCTTGAACCTGAGAAACTGCAAAACGAAAGCCAACGTTCTTCACAAAAAAACACCTCCAAAACCTTGCTTCCGTGCACCCCTACACACCACCTACTTTCGAGTGTGCTTTCTCAGGCCACCCCCCCGAACCCCCTTCTTACTCAGCTGGCGCCTTGCCATGTACAGATACCCAGGGTAGCTACAATTCAGTTACCAGGTATAGCACTTCAAGTTCCCTTTCCGTCAACCGCTCTATAACCTTTACACACGCACAGCAATCCACAGCTTTGAAGTCTCATTCGTGCTTTGAACTTATACAGGTGTGTAAGAGGTATAGTAACATAGCATTTATACGGACCCAGGGTAGCTACAATTCTGTTGCCAGGTATCGCACTTCAATTTCACTACCCTGGGTCCGCGCGCTCGTGCGCGCGTTGCTGGCTCCCGGCTGCCCTAGATTTAGGCGCGCGCGCGCGGACCCAGGGCAGCTACAAGGCAGTTGCCAGGTATACCCAGGGTAGCTACAATTCAGTTGCTAAGTATAGCTTCAAGTTGACTTCAAGCAACCGAAGACAATTGCATTTCTTCAACACAAAAAGGCACCTCCAAAACCTTGCTTCCGTGCACCCCTACACGGTATAGATACGCAGGGTAGCTACAATTCATTTACCAGGTATAGTACGGCTTCTATCTGTGTTAAGAAATGTTCTTAAACAAGAAAGTAGACTCTATTTTTTCGGGAAAATAGATTATTTCTAGACTCTATTTTTATCAAAAAATAGGTTCTTTTTGAATACGTACTAAGTTCTAATTTAAATGGCCCTGCCACAGGGAGAAAGAAATAGAGAGAGAGAGAGAGCGCGCGGTGGTCTACGCAAGGTGTTTTCCGTTTAAATTGGTTAAACAGGAGCCTTGGAGGAGGACGGGAGCAGGTGTGGTGCCGTTAGACAGTTTCAGACCTGTTTCAGACCCTTGCCCGACCACTGAACATCATGCCGAGAGGGTCCAAAGCCGCTGCCAATTGTTGTGACTCGCACAACTCACACGATGTTGCACCCGTCTGCGCTGCGCATTCGTCCCAAATGGGCCAACTTTCTTGATTTGGGACCATTGTGGTACCACTACGGCCGCAATTGAGTTAGGTACCACTACGGCCGCACTTGAGTAGTATTGGACGCACCGAATTACGATCACAATGGTACCTAATTAAAAACGAGCCTTCATTATCCTGTAGACCCTGTACGTATACATGGGAATCACAACACGTCTGCCTCCCGTGCAATGCTCGTCACCACGGATGTATTTGAACTTGTTGCTTTTCAAGAGGTCCTTGGCGCCAAAGATGTAGCCGCCGAGAGCCACATTATAGGTACCCACAATGCTGCATCGCGAACGCTCCCTTTGAGTGGGCGCCCGGAGGGGTGCGGGAGTTGGACTCGGTATAGAGCACGTCCCCTGAATGAATTGAACTTCAAACTGGACTTCGTCAGCGGTCAGGCGGTGGGGTCTTTTGTTGAGAATCTCCATGTGGTTTGGTTGTTGCCTGGTAGGGGAAAAAGCAAAGATAATACATCAGGGTTATTTGATGTTATATGTGAAAGTGCTAGAAGTATGAGAGTGACGAAGCGAAGAAGAAGGAAAGAAAGACAGAAAGGATGAAAGAAAGAAGGGCAGGATGAGGAGTTATGAACAAAGTAGAAAGGATGCGAACAAGGAGCATAGTCAACGCCTTTCTTCAGGATATGGTCAAGGTAGGCGAGAAGGATATATGATGCAAAGCCGGTTGCAAGCCGCTGTCATCGTCGTCACAATACAAGACCTTGGCATAGGGGAGTTCGCGTGTACCCTGGGTCCCAAACTCAGATCCGGTTTGAAGAAGGTAGCCAAAGTTGACCAAGTCCTGCACCGATTGAGGCTTCTCTGCACTGCCCTGTGACTGATCAAACCGGGCTCGAAAGTTTCGCAAAGGTCAAGTGAAGCATTGGGGAGCGATCCAAGATGATGGCGTGGCAGGGAGAGCTGGAGAAGTGCTCGAAGACGAACTTACCATTGACCCGCGTGCGGGATGATCGTCAAGGTGATAGGTGCTGGGGGCTGGGGCGTTCCCACTGTGCCCTGAGGCGCTTTTGGAGATCCAGCCGTGGTCAAAGAGCGTCGTTTGCATCCAGGATGCTGACGGTGAAAAGGTGAGCGAAAATGAATCTGTATAGATACAGTCGTAAGTAGTAAATAGTGACACAGGAAAAGCATTTGGAAAAAAACGCACCAAGAAACACGCGGGGAGGTCGCGGAGTGAGAGTGGGAGAGTGTGAGAGCGAGAGTGGGAGAGTGAGTGAGTGTGAGAGTGAGAGCGAGTGCGAGTGCGAGTTTGAGTGTGAGTGTGAGTGAGTGAGAATGAGAGTGAGTGAGTGAGAGTGAGTGTGAATGTGAGTGTGAGTGAAGAGTGAGTGTGAGTGTGAGCGTGTGTGAGTGAGTGAGGGTTGTTCTTTCTTCTCTTACTTTGAAAGCCGTAAAGATTGATGTAATACATTAATACGTTCTGCATGCGTCTTCATGCGTCTTCGTACCTCTGCATGGGTCTTCATGCGTCTTCATGCGCCTTCGTACCTCTTCATGCGTCTTCATGCGTCTTCGTCGATAATTGGGACCCCTCTATCGCCAACAATGTCCACCTGTCCGCTCTCGATTCGGGTCCAAAAACCGTCCAACCGGACCTCTCCTGGCACGGAGAGGTGCCGCCCAAGCGACGACTCGGTTTGGATCTCAGACCCAGCCTGGCACGGCACGAAAATGGACAGACTCCCCCTCGGGTCAACTGGACGGTGTGCCATAAACTGGATGATTAGGACCCAGTGGGAGGCTACTCTTCTGGTCAACGTGGAAAAATAAGCACCTTGAGAAAAACAAGAAAACACATGAGAGACTGAGACAGTCCATTCAACATGCCGGTGCCATGATCTAGTGCAGTACCATGTATATATATATATATACATATTACATGCGTGCTATTGACATCATTTCAACCATTGGAAGTTGAACATGTTCCAGCCCTCAACTGCAGTGTATCTTGCAAATCCCATAGTGTGTAGTTGAGAATCGAAAAGGACCTTCCGTTTGAGGTATTGGAAAGCCTGGGCCCATGGAATGGTCTAGATGGGTTAAGAGACGTTAAGAGACAAAGATTAGCACTCAAACATGTTCAATCCATTTATGGAATATGGTAACTGTATATATAGTAGTTATATGGCTCAATCCCCCAATTTGGGTAGTGACCTTGGATCGAAGCCACAACATCCGCAAAGGGGAACCATGAAAGCGAGTGTTGTGAGCTACGACCACCAATGTAGCTCCTGTCTTCCAAAGAAAATCATAGGCTCGATCTCTTCAGGAATCTGATCTGGATAAGGAAGGCGTCCAAGTGAGATGAAGGGATCTCTGCCACAAAAACCATTACCTAACCTGTCACTGGCCTCTTTCTTCACCACCCCCTAGATCCGTTCGGCAGTCACTTCTTTTTCAGGAACTAGGAAGATGGTGAAACAATGGCGTGGACCGGCGTGGAGAAGTTTCTTTCCTGCAATCGCAAGGTGATGATAGATTTTTGTTCACGGAAATGGTACAATTGCAGTTCACGTCCAAAAAAGAGTCGTATCTCTACATCAGTTTCTCATGTTGGCACGTCAACTTGGTGGCATGAGAACCACTATAGTTTGATATTACATAGTTTGATCCTTTGCCAAGTAGTTATCAAATTGATTTGCTGTGATCTTCGGTGGGGTGAAAGGGGAGGTCTTTAAACCACATGGAGTTCTGCATAGTTCTACAGTTCTACCTTCCAAGGATTTGGAGTAAGAAGTTGCTTGAGTTGGTTGTGCCGATGGCGGGAAACAGCAATGAACCTTCTGAAGGTCCTGTTTGACCTGAAGTTCAGCCAACCTGTTTGACCTGGATCCCTGAAACGAGGGAATTCCTCAGGCAAGCACATGGAAGCGCCCACGAGCTTGGACCCTTTTTATGCAGCGGAAAAGGTTGCTTTTCTCGTTCGGCGGATCACGATGGTTTGTGCTTCATGTTCATCTGTTGTGCTCATGGATGCGCTTGTTTTCCTTGTTTTCCAGGAAACACCTGGGTCTCCCCATATCAAACCATTCTTTTCAGCGCTCTACCCACACAGACCCGTGCATCTCTCTGCGCTGCATTGCCTCGTTGCTCTCCACGGCACCGCGCAGCTGCGTCATAGCACAGCCATCGGTCTCACCAGTCTCCCCAGTCTCCGCACCTAGCGTCGGACGCTAGGTGAAGTAGCTCCTGGCATTACTAGGACCAAGAAGCTACTAGTCTGGTCCGTGAGAGAAGGAAGGAAGGAAGGAAGGAAGGAAGGGTCAGAAGCCCTGCAGGGTCAAGGCCGCCAAGGCCGCCAGGGCCGCCAAGGTCACGTCGCTCGGATTTTCACCCCGAAAAGGTCGCGCTGCTTGAATCTGTATAGAGCTGCTTGCACACCTCTGAACAGGCAAAACTTAAAATATAAGACAGGAGACCATGCAAGTTCTTCTGTTAGTTTGGGCCACTGCTGATAAGGGAGACTCACTTAGACAGCAATTGGGGTCGTTGAAGTCAGTCGTCGTGGTCAAAATTAATCCCTCCCCAGGTGGGATGGTCAGATCGACTGCCGTAAGACTCAGAAAATAAAAAGACTGGGCAACCTGGTATCCCATTTCCATGATCAACATCATAATTCCAGCAACTTCCAACCAGCACCTTCCAACAGGTCTCCGAAATGGGTTGGGAAAGGCCGCTCCAGGTCTCAATTGGTGACCTGGCCGTGAGGTGCTGGTATTTGGGCCTAGTTAAAACCGGACTCGAAAACTAAGGCGCCACTCGGGACATGTTCGGAAGATCTCATGCCCGCGCCGCGCCATGACTTCGGGAGACCTCGCACCTCATGGAGCGCCACCCGAACCTCTGCACTGACGCCACCCGAACCCCTGCCTGCACGGAGAAGAAGCAGTAGAATACCTACACAGCGGCGGGTCCACGGACCAGATTGGGAGCAGGGGACTACCGCACCGAGCCTCAAAACAGTCGTTCTGTCGATTAGCCGAGCAGGGGACTACCGCACCGGACGGAGTCATACAAGCACCCTAGTAGATTTATACTATTTGTTGATTACAGTGTATATATATATATATATTATACGCAATTAGTTATATATCTATATATATATATAATATATTTACCTATTTATATAGTTCCCCAGATAGCGAAGCTATGGGGTTCTTACTTCAAATATATAACAATGAGTTGCCCGTGCGCGCTTTTGAGACAGGTTGCCGGTGCCGGTGCTGGTGCTGTGAGCTGGCTGTGCACGTGGTGGAGACAGGTTGCCGGTGCTGGTGCTGGGGCTGGGTGCCGGTGCCGGTGCTGTGAGCTGGCTGTGCGCGTGGAGACAGGGTGCCGGGTGCCGGTGCTGGTGCTGTGAGCTGGCTGTGCACGTGGTGGAGACAGGGTGCCGGTGCTGGCTGCCGGGTGCCGGTGCTGGTGGTGTAGCTTGCATATGTGAGGGGGTCTATTTTCCGCGCGAGAGCCTATGGGGGTCTTACTTCCAGCATATAGGAGAGCTGCATGTGTGCGCTTTCGACCTTGGGTGCTGGTATCGCTGCAGGGCGCCGCGGCTGTGTGCGCTTGGGTGCTGGTGGCGCCGCTGTATGCGCTTAGGAGGTTGGGTGCTGGTGGTGCTAGGGCCGCTAGGGTGGCGTTGCTATGTGCACTTAGGAGCTTGGGTGCTGGTGACGCTGGTTGCCGCTGCTGTGTGCACTTAGGAGCTTGGGTGCTGGTGCTGCTGCAGGGTGCCGCTGCTGCGAGCGCTTGTTACGAAGCGCGAGCGAAGAAGCCGCGGGAGCTTGAACGCAATGATTCCAATGCTATCTGGGGTCTATGCTGGCGTAATTTCGGTAATTTTATACGGTTTCACTGGGTCTGACTAGACCTGTAGGGATACAATGAATAATACAAGCAAGAGTTCAAGAGATCGAAGTGAGTGGAATCGAAATGTTACCCAAACACTCCATGGGACTGCCATATATGCCCCCCCATTGACCCCCCAAAACACCCCAACTGATCGGCAGTCCTATGGAGTGTGTGGGTTATGGAGGCCATCGATGATTGCAGAAGCCATGGGAGTCACACTGCTTCTGGGGCAATTAAATTCACATGCCCCGCCATTGATGGAGAAGTGCAACCTCAAAAGGTACTCCTTGTTCAAGAATTGTAAAACGCATGGATGGCATATTGGAAGACTCACCAACATCAACTGGGTAGTTAGTTCAAAACTAGTTGCTTGCCATCTTTTCTGTGTATAGTGGTAGACTAGCAGTTAGAATTTTTAGTGAGGAAAAAACAGCTAGCAACCTAGGATTTGCTAGAAAACTGAAAAAGCAGTTAGAATTGTCTGAAGAGAAAAAACGTCGCACATAGAATAAAAACATCCACATAGAATTAACAAACATAGAATTAAAATTGTCACATGATTGCACGATTACCCGAGTTTGCCAAAACATGAGAGCGTCCAATGACTCGCAGCTTGCGGTGCTTGAGTGAAGAAAGGATTTGAGGAAAGAGTAGGAAGGGCAGAGTGTAAAGATAAGGGTAGCACCCCATCAATGCAAGCAAGTGATGCTTAGCTTTCTCTAACAGCAACAATTTTCTATTTAAGGTTTGCGTTTTTTTTTTGCCGGCGCGTTTCTAGTTGCAATGAATTTGTCCGAGCTACATTCACAACTGGAGGACGGGTGTTCACAACAAAGTGTCGATTTGGTTTCTAGATGGATGGTATATTATAGGCGACCAGTTTGTTCCTTTGAGAATATGTTTGAACACATAATTTTGAATGCAGTTAGAATTATTTTAATGTTTAGGATTAGCCTGCCCTTCAAAGTAGCCAATCAGTTCCAAATGCATCTGGAATTCATCGTTTCGACCGGGAAAAAGGAAAGGCAGCGTTTTTGTTGGTCGTTTTTTTGCTGGTAAAGTGCATGGGTTGCATGTATGTTGGATCAATGGAATGTCATTTCTAACTGCATATTTTACTAATTCTACTTGCATAATCCTTGAAAAAACAATTCTAACTACTAAAAAACGCCAATTGCATTCTATCTGTAGAGAAAAATCTAATTCTAAGTGCATCCCTAGAAAATTTGACAATTCTAAGTGGTAGTCCGCCACTATAAATAGTTGAACATCGGCCACAAAAACAAACAACACTTTGGGACGCACGCCACCCGAAAAATACAAACACACAAAAAGAAAAAAGAAAAGACCACGTGTCGCGTCCGGTCCTCTCCAGTGACCCTACCGCACACCCTGCCTACCGCACGCATGGCCGTCATATTACGTGACGACGTAAAGCAGCAGAAGGGAAGTGAAGTGAGTCGGTCGAGCCAGTCGAGCTGCGCCAGGAAGTCGACGGTTGGTTTCAACAAGCTCGTTCGAACAAACATAGTATAGTGGGTCCAAAATATATGCGTTTATAGTGGGTTCAGTGGGTTCCATAGCCTAGGTTGAATCATCTCAAGTAGATATTATAGTTGAACATTTAAAAACAACAAAAACAACAAACACAAATAAAACAACTGAAATGATCATCGTTCTTCATGTGGTGCTTGACCCGTTTTTGCACCTCAGGCTTGGGTGGCTCTTAGACCGATCTTTTCCACTCTTTCAGGAAGAAACATCGAACGAAAAAACACACGGCATCGAACCAGCCACATGAACGGCAAGAACGGGCCGCCTTGGCGGCGCCCAAACGCCCAACTTGGGAACCACAAACACCATCGACTCCGACCGGAACATCCGACCGATCCCGACCTAACACACTTCACTTCCGACTCTGCCTTGAACACCGACCCCCCCCCCGTGAGGCCGTCGACTGAAGGCTGTACCGACCCGCGACGCGCCACGTGGCGCTTCACCGTCCCGCTGCTGCGGGCGCTTGTCTTTCACCAGCTGCGTGCGTCCGCTGCCCGGACGAAATACTCCGCCTGGGGAGGCGGCGCATCTCTGACGCAGGAAGGATCCTGTCCATCCGACCAGACCATGTCGACCGACGGTTTGCTTCGACCCGCTCCGGCCGCCAACTCCGAACAGTCCGAATTCGGCCGCCGAAGGCGCGCCGAAGAGTCCTGATTAGGAAGACTTTCCGATGCAAACTCACCAAGCAAAACCAGGTATGGGGATGTGTATATGATCATATATGCATATATATATATACATCATATATGAGATTTTATAGTATAATATAGATATATATATATATATATGAATATGATACTGAATATGAATGAAACATGATGTATAGGGTGCTGTATGGTACTGTTCTCATTTTCTGAGCGTTCTTGAGATCCCTCCAAACCAAACTGCCACGGGGACGGTGATTCATTCCCGGTGTCCTTTTGCTGGAAACGAGTGGGACGTGAGGTGCGGGACACTGTTTTGGGGGAGGAGGGGATTGGGAGATCCCAAAGAGATGCTCAACATCAAAAACTCACCACCGCTCTCTTGGTCATGAAACGGAAGGGGCTGGTGCTTGTTTTTGGTCGGCTGCTTGGAACATCGCCATGCTGCCAGTGAGACTTGCTAGAAAGTATGGAAAACAATTGCTTAAGGCTGTCATGCCGCAAAAACTCCTGTCCAAAGGGAATCCAATTACTTTCAAAACAATTCCTCAACTCAGCCACACGGCAAAAAGAACTGATGCCCAACCTTTGCACACTCTTTTTCCATCTTTTTCCAGCATGTCTGCTGGTTTGTATACTCATCAGGTTGCCCGTTTGCCCTAAAGGATCCTAAAGGTCACAGCCACCAAGGGAATCGATTCTTACCACATCGCCGGAATCACGGCCCCGAAGCGGGGCAGCCTCTCGCAGGCCAGCGTCCAGGCGCAAGGCAGCGAGAGCGTCCTGGTTTCAAGGACATCGCAGCGACAATCTGAGGTCTGGAGTCTGGGCTGTTTCACAAGGATGCGACATACCAAGCTGCCCCTGTTTGGGGTGGTTCATGGATACCCCCTAAGCTCTAAGAGGCTATACTACATTAGTTAGACATCCCTTTGGGGGGGGGGCCTTGTATGGCCTTCGATTTCTTATGGATCAGGCCCTAGCTCCTTTCTTGTGCCAAACGGGGCACCCCATCCGGTTATGAGCACACCAGATTGCTTCCAAGAGCCATTCCTGCTTGGAGCTCCTGCTTCATGCGGTTCTTGTTTACTTTAATAGTGGGCTCCAGGCTGCAAAAACTAAAACACTAGAGGGCTTTACCTGGTTGGCTGCCTAGGTTCCATGCTTAGACCATTGTCTGAGTTCTTACTTTGAATTACAAGGGTTAATGCCACCCACACAATCGGGATTGATATTCAAGACGGGCCATTTCCAAGCAAGCAGGAGGAACGACTTTGGGTGGACGACTGAGTCAGTTCTTTCACTCAGGGTCTTGGGCAACCACAAGAAAGACTCAACCTGTTGCTGGGAAGGCCTAGTTGTTATTTTCTCTGTTCCCTGTTTCAATCGCCAGGATGCTGGGCAATGACGTGGCTTGCCAGGCCCCAGATTCGAGTGGACTAGCTCTGTGACACTCAAAGTCTTTGCTCCGCCCCGGACCCAACTGACGATCTCCCAAAATCCCGGAGGGGCCAGTGATGTCAGGTCTAGATTCAAGACCTATGATCTGATGGACATCTGATTCCTTGGGCCTCATGGCAATTGAACATAGTAGACTCTTGATTCACAACCCTCCTCCTGTTTGGATGGTAAAACCCCTTAATGTTATTTATTCTTGGTGGTTGACATATCGTCAAGAGTCTACAAATAGTCTATACATTACTAGCTATATATATATATATACACATTACTTTTGTTCCATCCACCAGCTCCCTCCACCAGCTCCCGCGGCTCGGAACGCACCTCTTTGGCCTTCGTCCAAAGCTCCAGTTCCAAGCACGCTTGCGCACGGGAGAGGTGCAAATGGGCACCTCAGGCAAACGGACGTCCCTTTTGGGACCTCCAAATGGATAAGCAACTCCTCAAGTCGAACATGTATTGCAAAACGGTTACTATCCATTTGAGGACCACTATAGTTGTTCTTCCGTGAAGAGTTTTCGTGTTTTGATTGTGGGGTTGGGTTGTTCGGTGGGTTTTGACTTGGACTGTGGTGGGTTTTGCATGGTTTCATGTATATACAATAAGCCCAATCATCAGCAAACGTTGCAAGCCAATATGAACCCAACCAATTCTCCCAAAACGGCTATATCCTTGAGTCATGTCTTTACCCACTTCCAAGCACCATTGCTTCAATGTGTTAACCCATTATTCCTTACGAATAGTTCTTTTTATAAAAAAAAACGGTTTTTAGACTAATTACAACAACCAGGTCCACCAAGGTACACACCAAGGTCCACCTTTCTCTTCATCCAACGAGTCACTTAGGAGACGCCAGTCTTCCCGGGTGTTTTTCCCCCACGTCCGCGGTGTCCGGGCGTCCGCGCGCAAAGGCTTCAGTCCCAAGAGGTGCTGTGCGGAGTCGAGGCCCGGAGGGTCTCACACGGAGGTCCTATCTGAAAACTGCTGGGGGGACTTGGAGGCAAATACTGGGGCTCCTGGCATCGCAACGCCGTTCGAGAGCATTCTTGCGTCCGTCCGTCACAAGGTAAGCTACGAACGGGGCGATCGGATGCCATACGAAGAAAACGGAGCGATCGGATGCCACTAGTCTTTCCAGTCAGGTGCGCTGGGTTGAGCCCGGTTCCGGTCTCGGAATCCAGGTGTAGATGACACATCATGACTCCTAGGGCTCCTGGCCTCCCACCATGTCGAAGATGGGTGGATTTTTTGGTTTTCTGTGCCCACCGAGCCTGAGGATCTGGGACAGGAGCCGAAAAAGGGGACTTACATGTGATTGATCTTACGTGTGCCCAGACCTTTCTTTCCTGTCCTCATCTCCTCTCCCTTCTCTGTTCCTTCTTTGAGCTGCTCAGGCCTCTTATCTCGAGGTCTTCGTCCATTCCTCCAAACCCGCTCACTAACGGGTCTCTGTTCATATGGGAATGGGCCATGGCACCTGGACCCCCTGTAGGTCGCCTGTTTGTTCTCTGGTCAACCAAGGTAACCCGCTGCCATGACCCACATGTCGAACGTTCATCTGATCCCAAATGTCTTCAATTCTCACCAGGAATCGCAGCAAAGACAAAGACTCCCCAATAGTCCGGTGACACAATCACACTGAAACACCTACCTCCCCTGAAGGAATCGTAGTCACACTTCTGGAAAATCCATAACAACATCGACTAGTCCCTCAGGCCCTCAGAGGTGTTTCTGTGTCCACGTTTTAGGTCACTAGGTCGACATCTGGTTCGAGCAAGCAGACTGCTTGGGGGTCATTCTCAGGGCTTTCTTTCTTTCGACTTGATAACCTCCCGTCTTCACTCGGACCTCTTCGACCTTCACTCCTTCCCTGTCTCCTGCCGGTCTTCAAGACTAATCCCAGACCATCCATGTATCCGACGAACACGTCACATGGAAGTGGATGGCATTCCCTGTTTCTATAAGAATCATCGTCAGACTGTACCGGGCCCCATCCACGTCAACATGTGACGTGTTCGTCAGAGTGTACCTACACTAATGTAGACTCTTGATGATTAACCCTCCCCCATGTGGATGGACGTACTTGCGGACCATCAGGCCCGCCCGCACCATCCCTTGCCGCATAGGGGTGGGTCGAATTCCGAGTGAAGGATGCTACCGTGAACCATGAGGAAGTAGTGAGACCGAACGAAGGATGCACACCAGAAATACCGAACAAACTGGGGGCCGGTGATCAATCAAAGGTCTCCATATCGAGTCATCAATGGGGTCTTCCTTTGGCTCATGTCATCCCCTTCCGCTCTACCGGTGGCAAGCTCGCCTCAGGACACGGCTGCAGACCTTTCAGCGCCTCAGGACGCGTTCTCGAGCAAGGCAGGGAGATGATGGTTGTGAATGCCAGACCATCCATGGAGCCAGAACTTGAAACCACGAACAACTTGAAACCTATGAAACCATCAAACAACAGACCATCTATGAAACCATCAAACAACAGACCATCTATGAAACCATCAAACAACAGACCATCTATGAAACCATCTAGGTTCCAGGCTTTGACCTGATAACCATGAAAACTTGACCATCTATGGATGGACCTTTTAACCTCGGTCACTTGCGGTCCGAAGTGCGGTCCTCGGCGGACAATGCCTGCGGAGAGCAGTGATGGACTTTTAACAAAATTGACACCCATTACTATGACCCATGGATGGAACCCTACTGACTCTTAGTGGTAACCATATGTAACCATTCCAGTCCCATGGATGGTCTGGGAATCGGTGCAAATGGAGATCTCTAGCTTGCTCCCTTCAAACCACCAGCTAGCATCTCCTGCATCATGGACGTCAGAGTCTGGCACGTGGCTCTTAAGGTCAGATTGATTCTAAAGACATCTCCGGGTTTCCAACCGCCAACCGCCGTTGGGTTTCATGGGTTTGACTGAACAACCATCAAATTTAACAAAGGATCTTAGACTACAACACCAGGTCAAGCCATTCTTTTACATAATGGTCTTTGAAGGCCAGGCAAATGCCAGGTGACTGCGAAATGCCGGGTGACTGAGTGTTCGGGGGATCATCTGTTTTCCATGCTTCTTCAGAAAGTATGCGTTCACGGTGTGTTCTTGGCAAAGGTGATTGGGCTGTTCGGGCAGCAGGTACCATCCCAAAACGACCAGAAGAGCACAACAAAGGCAGAAGAAATGTCTCAATCAGTAACACATAGTATTGGGATTTCATTGTAAATGCATGTAAATGTGTACACACATATATTACATAAATGTATATATAATATATTTAAAAAAACAAAAAACAAAAAACATATATTACATAGCCTGGGAGTCAAAGACCATGTTTTAAACGGTCTTTAGGTGATCCGAAAAGGAACTTCCTTTACTTGGGTGGTGCCGAAAATAGTCTTTGGATGTCTTTGGACTTCTAAACTTCTAGGGTCGGTATTATATATCAGATTTCAAGCTAATTAAGGTCACATGTGCTTTCACCACCAAAAGGGCCCTGTGACGTGTCACCTCCGATACCCGGCCCAGCTGGGTGCCTGCTGAGTGGATCCTGCCTGTCCTGCTATCTTTTTTCCATGGAGAAATCTGGGAACCTTCGCCACTACCGGTTTTCGGACCAAAACCGGGGCTGCCTAACTAAGCCCCCTGGTCTTTGCCTATTTTGATTTATATCTGTAGCGTCCCAGTTCGCACTTCGTCCCAGTTCAGGTTTTAGAAATCCCTTCTTGCTGTCCGACTCCTTTCCTATAGCAGGACCTTCCGGTCTACGCCCAGCATGGCCTTTGCATGGCCCTGGCACTGCCAAAGGCACCCGTTCAGCATGATCCACGACCATCTTGAAGGCTAAGCCCTGCGTGACCTCCCGCCGCTCCGATCCATCCGATGGTCAAGGACGACGGACGTCCTGGACAAGTACCATGGACGGTACCAAACAAATGACCTCCCAAACACGACCCCTCTGGGACTGCCATGTTGGACTGCCTTCAAAACGGGCGTTCAGGGTGGTCTGTCTGGGGCAGTCCGTCCTGGCAGTGCCAGACAGGTCGTGTCTGGGTACAAGTGAAACCACTCGACCAGTCCTTTGTGTATACTTCACCTTCCCTTTGAGTGGGATTCCAACACATTTCATCATATTTCAGTCCATTTCCAGGACTCTGGATGGAAGAACCTCGTGTTTTATAGGGTCCAAAACTCTTCGTTGTATCAGCACATGTTCTGATCAGAACTCTTGGTGGTCAGGTGCTAGATCCCCAATTCTACTCAACTGTCAAAGCCGTTTGGAGTCAATTAATACCCTGGAGCGCTTGCTTCGTTGTATATGAGCTCCAACCCACCCTCCAGATTCTGAAGGATAAGGCAGAATTTACAGTATGGCAGTGGGCCAACAAAAGAAAAATTGAAGAAACTAACATACGCACAATCTGAAAAACACAATACAACCTCATGGTCCGCTCACTTCTCATTCCAAAAAACTCTTGTACCCTTCGTTTTCCTCATGATTCCTTCGCTTCAACCCTTCGGTCTACGCCTTGGTCCGGCAGTTGACGGCGATCTCCGCGGCACAGCCGAGCCGCTGCACGAAGGCAGCGACCTCGGCCAAACCCACCTGAGCGATTCGACCGGGCTCCGACGTTGGCCGGGCTAGATCCCGAACCCCTGGTCTTTTGGACGCAAGTGTAGGATGGTTCCAAAAATGAATCAACAAAACAAATTCCTGATTCCTGGCTTGGTGCGGTTGTATGTTTGAGTATGGATTTGAATTTTTGCTATGGGTTGTTGGTGCGCCCTGAAACTCGACTGGATTTCCGAAACTTGTGGGACAGGGGCATTCGGCACCGAGATTGGCCCCGGAAGCGGGCGAATCAAGTCACAGGTGGCAGATCGAATAGAAACCGTATCGATCCACATACCCTCCTATCGAGGGGGATGTGATCGACATTTTTATGTGGGCACCAGGAGCGTCCAAACACCTAAACACCTTCGAGTAGGAGCTACTTTTCGTTCCCCAACATCGCACATGCACGACCTGAACCCAATAAAACAAAAGGAACCTCCATGGCGGGTGCATCCTGAGAACACACCAAACATTGCAATCCCCAAACGAATGCAGAAGGGAATTCTCTGCCGGAACCCAAAACATGTACCGAATCAAGGTTCATTATGGAGGGTTACTGCAGTCCATCGCCGAGAGAAACAACATTTGAACAATTTGTTATTTTCTTACATTGATTTTTTTAAAAAAACATTGGATCAGTGATCAGTCAATGAACAAATGTATACAATGTACTATAACCCAAAACCATCCGAACATGTGTTTTTGATCCGAGCAGGTCTTCTTTTGTGGTGGGTTTGTATTCAAAAATAGAACTCACCCAGCGACAGGTTCCAGTATTCCAGTTTGTATACTGTGTATGCATATCCGCCGACCCCACTCAATGGGGAGGGCCCCAGAGAATCACCGGCTGCGTCCGTGGTTGCGTGAGGCATGTAAACATTTAATGGAGCGAGTAGCTTAGGAGGCGATGTTCTGCGTGGTATTGATTGGTTCCTGATTGGTAAAGGTTGTTGCGAGGGGCAGGGTTCAGAAGGCTGATGCAGTGGACTTGGATTTGACACAGGCTGGAGGACTAGTTTGGAAGAAGGATCTTGGACATAGACTCTTTTTGCTGTCAGAAAGCGCGCGTAATAAATGAACCTGTGGACTCCATGAAACTTACTGTGTGGCCTGGTAAGAGGCAAATTTGCGCCGGCGCTGGCCGAGCCAAGAAAAAAGGGTCCGACGAGCAGCCTGGAAACGCCCAGTGTTCAAACGCATACGTATGTAAAACGCGCATTCGCTCTTTCACACACAGAAGCGTACTGTGACTCTGTGGTGGCTGGCCTCGGCCTGGAACGCGTCCACACAGAAACGTACTGTGACTCTGTGGTGGCTGGCCTCGGCCTGGAACGCGTCCAGGGTGTCACTGCATAGTCTAGCGACGTCACGGTGTGTGGCCCCATGGCCAGTAAACACTGCATGTTGCGCAGTACGGTGAAGGTCAGACATGTTGACAGTCTGCAGGTTGATGTACTCCCTCTGCGCACAACGCGGTAGGAGTTCCCAATAGCTATCCTCAATCAACTGGTGGGTAAGGCATGACTGGTATGCCTCCAGGTCCGGGCAATACTATTACTACTACTACTACTACTACTATTACGACCACTACCACTACCACTACTACTACTACTACGACGACTACTACTACTACTTCTACCACTCCTTCTACTGCTGCTACTACTACTTCTACGACGAAAAACTAACTACCAACTCTCAGCGACCAACTACTAACCACTAACCACAACTACGTGCTACCTACTACCACTACCACTACCACTACCACTACTGCTGCTGCTGCTGCTCCTACTACTACTACTACTACTACTACTACTACCCACTACCCACTACCCACTACCCACTACCCACTACTACTACTACTACTACTACCACCACTACGACTACGACTACGACTACTTCTGCTACTCCTACTGCTACTGCTACTGCTCCTACTCCTTCCTACCTACCTACCTACCTGCCTACGGCCTACTGCCTAAACCTACTACCTACTACCTACCTACGTCCTGATACCTACCTACTACCTACCTACTACCCACTACCAACTACCTACTACCTACTAACTACAAACTACAAACTACTACTTACAATACTAACTTACGACATACTACTTACCACCTGCTACCACCTACCTACCTACCCACCTACCTACCTACCTACTACCTACAAACTACAAACTACTGACTACTACTTACAGTACTACTTACTACTAACTACTTACTACTTAGTAACTGCTACTACTCATTATTGGTCTTGGATTCAATTTTATATTGTAATATTTTGCAACATGTACATGTGTGAAGCCTCATTGATAGGCTTGTATTACTTTGTAAAGAAAACAGAAATGCTTGTCTGCAGCACCTCTCTCACATTTTTCGAGCCAGCAACCAATGTTTATTTTTGAAAGAACCCGGCATGGACATGGCGTCTGGCGACAATTCTGCGCATCCACCTTTTCAGCTGCGGCTTGCGGTGGTGAAGGCACCGGGTTGGTGGAGGTCGCTACAATCTACAGCGTTACTGTACTTTTTTGAAACATCGCAGGCGAGGAGCGAGGGATCCCTCATGTACACGCCCATGTAGAGAATGCCAAATTGCTCTACAGCAGGCAGCGCTTGCATCGCCCGGTTCGCCATCAGCCGCTTCAAGCAAGCAGTGGTTTTGCACCCTCCTTTTTGAAGTCACATAGTTGAGATTGTCTTCGGCTTCAGACAGAAATCTCGAGTTGGCCGCTTTGTGAATTTCGCTGCAAGCGGAAGACGCAGTAGCCGCAGAAGTCACGGAGGGAGCTGAACAGCGCCGACGCTTGTGGGCAGGAACGGGCAATGACAGCGACGACATTTTCCGGGCGAGGAGTCGGAGTGAATCAAGGCAACGGCGTGACAGTTGGTTCGGTTATCAACATGATGTGCACGGGATGCGAAAGACCCTGAACAAACTCCCAATTGAAATGAGCTCTTGTGGTTGGTGTTTGCCGGTAGAATGAAGAAATCCAAAGCCCTTAACAAACCGCCTGCCGGGTTCCTCCTTGTATAAAGTCTAGGAAAAACGATCTGTTGAAAATGGCTTTGGCTCACGTCAAGAGTCGCGGCGTTTTGGCCACGCCATGGACGAAGGATCCTTTCATGGCATCCAAGAAGCTAAAAGCGGCACCCTTCATGTCCAAGAAAGGGTTTCTCAACGCAGCGACTTTGCGCAGCGGCCCATGCAGTGTCTTCGACATTCCAAGCCCGCACCAGCAAAGGTAAGTGAGGAGCAATACCTTTGAGCGACACCGCTGCAACAGCATTTACCGCGCTGCCCTCACACCGCAACTCAACCCGACTTGAGGACAGCCGGAGATCCCTTATTGCCTTCAGCTAGAACTAAACCACCAGCCCGACCAAGACAAAGCTTCAGAAGATGCCCAACTGCGTTGAAAAAATGTTTTTTTGTCATCTTAGTGAAGCCATGTGTGCTACCACGGGGCAGCTGGCAGATCATCACTCTGATCTCGGAACAAGAAGCTCAGCACCAAGATGAGATGCTTGCGCTGTTCATGAACGACAGCTTTGGCAACCTTCCCAAATTCAAATGAACCCAGAAAGAAATCATGCCAAGCTACAACCATTGAAAGTTTGCGCTCCGGGGGTCAACCTCGTGTCTGACACACTGCGCGCCAAAAGAAAAGTAGAGGCCTGGGTCACCAAGCGGTTCCCTTTCGTGTCAGCTCTTGGGTTTGCAATCCAGCTAGCCGCCAGCGATGCGGCAGGCGCACTGGGCACCGGCATGACGGCATGACAGGAGGAATCGGGCCACCAGCATTCACATGCAATCTCCACCCCCAAATCCAGCCAACCTCCCACAAACAGGCACGGGGTGCTTCAGCCACGTCATTCTGCCGTGGCGGTCAGTCAGAACCTGGGCGAAGTGACGGCAGCCATGGTTCATCTAGTCTGCTGGGAAACCGTCAGGAGACCCATAGACTTCCGAGATTGTGTCCCCTGTTACCCATAAACGGGAGGTTTGAGCCTTCCTCGTTAGGAAGGTCCTGGCTTCTGGCAAAAAAACGCCCTCCATCTGCCAGAAGCAGCTTTAACTCCAACAAGACTTTGGCGGCTGCCGGTCCTTCAAGTGAATAATCCGACCTCGCTTCATCATTGACTCGCACCAGAGGCCACGCAATCACGAGGGCGTCGGCGGCTACAGCCGCACCGACAACACGGCAAACCCTGACGTCTGAGATTGCGTGTTTGATTGGCAGAGTGCAATCCTGGGAGCTGTCTTGGGTTCATTCTTAGCCAGCAATCAGGTAGCATGGATACCACCTGGAACATTGGGATTTAGGATTAAACATGTGTCGAAGACTGCTAATGTACTACTACTACTACTACTAATACTACTACTACTACTACGACTACTACTACTACTACTACGACTACTACTACTACTACTACTACTACTACGACTACCACTACCACTACCACTACCACTACCACTACCACTACTACTACTACTACTTCTACTACTACTACTACTACTACGACTAGGACTACGACTACGACTACGACGACTACTACTACTACTACTACGACTACCACTACGGCTACTGCTCCTGCTACTGCTACTGCTACTACCACTACTACTACTGCTACTACTACTACTACTCCTCCTGCTGCTGCTGCTGCGGCGACGACGACGGCGACGACGACGACGAACACGCTCTCTCTCTCTCTCTCTGGCGCTGCGAGGGTCAGTCGCACGCGTCTATATGCTTCCATTAAGATATCACGTAATGTTGACTCTTGATTAATAAAACCCCCCCCGGGGGTCCCCCCCCTCCCCCCTCAACAATTGAGACTCCAGAACAATATGATAGAAAAACAATCAATTAATTGATAAATAAACAAGGAATCCTTAGCTAGCTACCTCTGGAGCTACTCTGGCAGTACTAAAATGAAAGGAATCATTACTTAGCTATCTCTGTCAATACTAAAAATTAATGGAATCATGTCTTAGCTATCTCTGGCAATAGAATAGAACTTACTTTACTTCGAGTGATCCCCACCATGACATTCATTCTGCCATTCTATCTGGCAATCTATCTGACATACTATCTGGCATACTATCTGCCATTTTGTCTGGCATACTATCTGTCATTCTAACTGGCATATCTTCTGGCATTCTATCTGGCATATTTTCTGGCATTCTATCTGGCAATGT